GAAGGGAGCCCAACTGCCTAGAAAACGACTGTATTTCCTGATTGATGAACACTCGCGTGACCACTAACGGAACTCATTTGTCCCGCCCCGTCTTAGGCCTCGACGGAGGCCTTCACGGCCTTAACAGCTGAATGTAGGCAGATAATATTGCCAGCAAAGACAGGGGAGACTGGAGTGGGCATTTCCTGCTCATTAGCCGTCGTTAGCCAGTCGTACCCAGAGTCAACTGGTGGCCAACCTGAGCATCCAACTCGCAACCCTTTTGATCGGAGTCTAATGCCCTGGCCATTGAACCACGAGCAATAATATCTGCCTACATCCAGCTGTTATGGCCGTCAGGTCCTCTGTCGAGGCCCAAGGCGGAGCGGGACAGATGAGTTTCGCTAGTGGTCAGACAGGCGTTCATCAATGAGTGTCAATATACCCTGACCTTAACCGGGTAAAGAGTTAGTTCGTGGCTCAATGGTTAGGACGTTTGACTCCGATCACAAAGGGCGCGAGTTCGAGGCTCGGGTGGAATACCACTCCAGTCTCGGTATGACTGGCTGAAGACGGCTAACGAGCAAGAAATAGCCATTCCATTCTCCTTTGTCTTTGCTGGCAATACTGTATTACTTTAATTACTTATAATTTGATGTGGCTTTATTTGTATGGCCAAATGATGAAACCCCGTAAGTAACATATAAGTGACCAAGAATAGCCATAGTCCGTCAAAAATAATTTTTTTAAAACCGGCCTTCATTGTCATTCGCGCAAAAAATCAATACTTTTGGTTTTCAATCACCCAAAAAGCTGGCTAAGAGAGACGGCCTGACAGCGGCAGCATGGAGCGGTTGTATCAAGACGCACTGCTGATAAGGGGCAACAAAAAAACAAAAGGAGACCGAGATGGCCATTTCTGGCCGTTGTCAGTTATCCCTAGCCACTTTTAGCTTGGCGCTAGAGAAGATTCAAACACGTGTTCTTTGGTTATCGAGCGTGAATAAGTTAAACGCTCTGACAACTGAACCAGTGTTTGGATTCTTGTCAGTTTCGATCGGGAATATTACCTATGTTAAAACTGCCTGCCAATTCTGACCGCAAGGCCCGTAAGCCTGGGGTTGGGTGAGGTTGGCTGAAGATGACTGTAGGTCAGAAACTGTCCCTCGATCTCCTTTGCGCTTAGCGGTACCCCCGTATCTACACATACCGCTAGTAAATCAGTATATTTGGAGTAAATAAGAACTCAATTGAAATGATATGCCTAAAAATGTAGTTAAGTTGCGAAACTTGTTACAGGTCGTATTAGTATGCAAAATGCATAAAAATATTAAGCTGGACGAGTGGGCAAGCCACTTCTTTCTACTGCCTCA